TTTTTTTGAAGTAGACCAAATTAATATCATTCCTTGAAATTTTCACAGAATTTTCTCCGCACAAAGAGGAAAAATCACAGAAATTTTCAAGACTGGATGTTAAGTAGTTTTTCATTTAAAAAATAAAGTATGACAGGAAGTCTGCGACGTCGCAAACCGAGATACGTGGTTTGGTAGTTTCACCGTCGATATGAAATTTGCCCCAGTTTTAATACTGATGTATTCCTAGTAAAACTGGACATGTTTGTGCAGGTTTTACTGATGAGTCTATTCTGTGAATTAATCTTTTTCGAACCAAAATACAAATTTCGGACTGATGCAATTAAAGTGGGATCTCTATTCTCCTCTCTATTCACCTTCTTAAGATTTCATAACAAAGTTCAGTCAAAATTGAACTACGTTTAGCAGCAAGGAACTACAATTTCGGGCTCATTTTAGAAACAACTTATATGCTATTGGTTTCCCTATGTGGATGAGTGTTTTTACGTATGAGCCAGGAATTGTAGTTCCTCATTGCGAAATTCAGTCTAATTAGTGTATTTGAAGAAGAACAAGAGAGAAAAGAACAGGATTAGTCTACTTTTTTCGGCCTGAAGTAACTTTGACTTGGCTCGTCAAAATGCCGCAATCTCTGAAGTTGTTTTTTTTCCCCCCTTTGGACCCTCAGACGTGGAAATCAGCGACATGAATTCAAAAATATTCTTACTTTCGCCAAATTCTCATTTTTCTCTCGTAAAGAAATAAGAGGCGTATTATTTTTTAAAATTGCACTTCGAAGTTAGATAATACTCATAGCGCTTCTGTAAAACCCATGAATCAACCAAAGGCCGGGTTAATTTGAGTTCCATTACCCGATTTAATCGAACATATGAGTTTGTTGTTTTTTTTTATCGAATTCGGACTCTACGGCGCACCAATTTGTCCAGAAATTATTCGCAAACAGAGTAAAAAATCCCCAAAAAATTGGGATCACCACCAAAATGCGCGAATACTCGTACGCTTCGTGTCTCTGCAGCAGTAAAAAAACATGGTCTGATTTCATTAAATGTGCACTTTCCCATTTTACTCGCACAGGATTCCATGTTCTTTTGCATTTTCCCCTTCGATTTGAGCCGTCATCCTCGCAAGCTTACGACTCGAAACAAAACGAGGGTAATAAAATCGAGGCCTGGTCTAATCTAAAGTCCCTCGGACGTAACAAAGCCAAGGGCCAAGGGGCTCGCAGGCACGGGACCATACGAGGGGTCAGAGCGCGAGTCTTAATTTCGTAGACGGGCCAAAAACGCAGGCGATTTTTACGTTTTTGAGGCGCAAAAAGGGAAATCTGGTTGTCGTCCCGTTCCGGAGCCCACTTTACACTCCACCCCTCGACACGAACTTTCCCCTATTTATATTTAAATAGCGTTCATTTATTTTTCTTGCCCGCCGTCTCTGTCTGCGCTAGCCCCGTCTCTGTCTATCCTTCTGCCTATTTTAACCTCTATAAGTCTATTGTGCACACCCCCATTGCGAGACCATGCAGGGACTCAAAACTGCATTTTCAATCGCCAAGTCGAGTCATGCATGCGCAGTTGTTTCCTGTCCGCGATTCCACATTTTCGGAGGATAACATTGATTAAAAACGGGTAATCGCACGGATAAAAAAGGTTTTTGTTTCGAAATAAATAGCATGATCTGTCGCGCAATCGACAGAATCTTATTTTAGGGCGCATTACACCGGAATGAAATCAACATCAAAGTCTTAAGCAAATTTTGCCGGATTACTGGTTTCACTTTAAATTATTACCAAGAAACGCGTAGGATGACGCACATTAGCTGCTTGTTCTTGAAGAATCCAAGTATTGTATAAAACCCTAGAATTAAGCTAAAAGTATGCGGATGCGAAGAATTGAATTCAATCGGTTAAATCAGAAATTTCATGGTTTTTTTAGAGCAACAAGCTCACAAAAAACACCGATGAATGCTTTCTGCATACGTTTTGAATTTATTCAAGATATGGGCGTCGTTGCTAACGCATTATTGTTACCGTTGTCCATACCCTGATTGGCTAGTTCTTTTGCGTAGGACGGACATATTGCAGACACCCGCACGCGTTACTCTACGTTTTATTATCACTGGAATAAAAATAAGTTCTTTTCGGGATACCTTCTTACTTTCGCGATACGAGGGAACGTGAATAATTAGAGCGGCGATAGCGATTTTTCACAGTTTCATAGGGGTTCTACCTTTTGGCCGTTTGATGGGAGCGGACTGGAGTTTTCGGAATACAAGCTTAAAGACCGATAATACTTGTGGACAAAGTAATTTTAAAATAAAATATTTTGGATTGACCAGATCCTATAATACATATACTTTCATACCCTGAATAATAAGTAAATCATTGGGAATAAGAAACCCTCCAATCAGATGTATGCTGCGAACTGGCCCTTAGGTGAGAACAAACAATTTCATTTCGTTTCCGTGTTGCACAAGTAGCAGAAAAAATGCGCAAATTGGGATGTCGCAGTTATAATCGAGCATGTAACTTAAATACTGAAACAAACACTAATAAATCATTATCGAACTTGCTATCAGTAGATTTACAAGCAAGATGAACTTTTAGATTAAAAGCTGCTGGAAACAAAGGTAATGAAAAAAGGAAAAAAAGATCGCAGAACTATTAATTCTGCCTTCGCATTCTGGAAAAAAAAACAGTCGTAAATAATGATAGCGAATCTGGGATAACAAGGAAATTTGTTTCAAGGAGGTTACTCCTCAAAAAAATCGGGACCTTTTTTGTGCCAAACTTTTTACACTTTGAGTCTTGAAATCAAGTTAGTACTACAACATATGAAATGAGGCGTTCTTTGTAGGCCATACACCAAACCTTTAGAGTCCTTTGAGACCTGCTAAATTTTTTTAGAGAAATATTTTTTTCCAGTTTTGGCGTGCTCTTACATAGATAATTTACAATACGTACCATCGGTTAAGAAAAAATCGATTTTTTATGCGACAAATTTTTCAAATCTCCGTGTCGTATTAACCTCTGTTTTTAGGAAATAAAATACACTTTTCATTTCCTGTATCAACACATCAAACGCTGAATAGATATTTTACCGGGTACAGTTTGCCAAATACGAACTTAACGAGCATGTGTGGATTAACATTTTTGGAAATTAACTGAAACATGAAAATCCATTCAACTCTGAGAAAAAGTGTACTCGAAAATGTTAAACAGATATCTAAAGTAATAAGTTAGTGACCATCGAGTAACTTTTTTTTCCAAGCTAACAAAACGCAACCGAACTGTTTATACATGTTAAAAAAATAATCAATGATGATACATACTTACTCGTAAAAATATGAGAAAGTTACATGATAAAACCAATATTTATAGGAAATTTACAAAGTGTTAACAGTATAATGAGGTACATTTTATTTAATTTACATGTAAATGTTAAGAAGTGTCCAAGGTACAAAGAAATCTACTATAAAAATATACAACAAAAAATTAACCTCTGAAATTTTTCCCTAACTGATAAAAACTATTCAAATTGAAACTCGATTTGCGAGTGCATGTACGATAGTCATGTTCATTGTTCTCACTTGAAAGATTTAATTTCCCTTTTTCCTAAAACCTTCAATTTTTCTTCTTCAAAAATATGGACATAATGTGAACATTGCTCTTTCACAATACGTATTACTTGCATTTTAAATGAAAATACTTAAAATAATTTTTCGAGGCAGATATTTTAGTCAGTATAAGTAATCATAGGACCACAAGTTCCTTATTCTACTTCATTTGAAAGTATTCAGATATGGCTCTTTAGGAGCATTTTCAATTGAAACTTTCTTTTAAGTTATGAGTGGCTAAGGTTTAAAATATATTTTCTCCCCATGTTTTCCTGTTTTTACTACATTCATGAGTAAGATGAGTAATTGCATCTTACGTGTAGTTTTAATTTGTAGATATACTTTTTGCCATTTCGGAGTATTGTCCTATTCAATAATATTTTCAATCTAACATTTTTGTCAACGAAGTCATTTTTGTTTCCTGAAATATCTATACGATTGAAAGTTTAAAGTGAGCAATCATGCTTTTTTAGAGCCGAAACCTTTAGAAAGAGGGCTTTTACCTATAGCACTGATTTCTTGACATTCGTGAAAACTGTAATTGGAATGAGAATAAAAGAGTGAATATTGGTTATTAGAAGATAAAAGTAACCTTTGGAGACTGACGGATGAAATCTCTGAGAAATGTTTAATGAGTGGAAAGAGCGATATTGTCGTAAGTAATTCCTATCAACTAAAACTACATGACCAAAACGTAAGTACCCTGAGAAGTAATACATATTTTGGAAGAATGTTTTCCTGTGCTGGACAAATTAACGTGATATTTTGATTGATGGCGTAAAAAACGTTCTTGAAAACTGTTCTCGAAACTCAAATAATACAGTTTTTATATTTGTGAGTCTATCCCAAACGCATTTAGATTACTGAAATATGGCGTAGAAAACAGAAATGGACAAATAGGAAGCTCTGATTGCTACACTGACTCTTTTTCTATTGTTTATTTATTTCAGCAATATAGTGCTGGATTCCTTATGTAATACTACAAAAAGTGAACGATTATCAACTAACGATAAATGAATAGACTATAAATCTAGGTTTAGATTTAGTTGAGGAATTGCGAGACCGTGAGTAGATCTACGGCCAAGGTTTTTTAAGGACCTACGTCTAAATACCGAAAGTGTATCGTTCTAAGTTTTAGATTTGAACGATCAGATATTTCAACGAAAGAGGAAAATCAGACTATTTTGTCTTGGGATGACCTCGATTTCAAATTTTTCTAGATTCTGAAGAAAAGTTTACAAGGAACGCACGCTCGGAAAAATTTTCCTATGATAACCAAAACTCGATCTTTAAAGGTATTTCTATTTTCTGTTAAAATGTGAAACAATAACAATAAAATATGAGAACGAATCAATGATATATTATTGAGCATGAGTATTAAACATATTCACACTTAAGGAAAAATGACATTTTCTATAACACTGTAAATGATGATTTTTAAAGGCGCGTTAGGAACTTTAGTTATATCACTATTGACTTTTTCACAATGCTAACCTATAACCATTGTACTCAAACATCAATAATGATTCAGTCTTTTACACCGTAAGTTAATTCAGGAAATTTACTTGGCGTAAAATGAAAATTCGGAATGTAAATGAAGCCATTTAACACTTATTTTCACGGCTCTCTCACAAGATACACCAATCATTATTTTACATTTTTTTCATGCGTATTAACAGTGTCTTTCAATATTCAGCAAAAAATACAATGGGGTTAGTGGTTAAGAAAATTAGCATACAAAACCTAAAATTAGTCTTAATATTTATTAAACGGAATTAAGTTCAGAAGCATGATATCAATTCTTTGTCGAGTAGTACTGATATGTTGGCAATCTTAATAACCCCTCCAAATCCAATCGAATTCCTGCAGGCGTGGTAACATGCAATTTTTCAAAATTGTGACCTACATTGGCACTAATTTTGGTGAATTTTATCAATTCCTGAGAATAAATTTTAGCTTGAAATGAGATGAGCTGGAATCTTAGGTCAACGATGACTAGTGAACTGTGCGTTTAAAAACAACGAATTGACCCTGGAAATCAAGCAAATATATACACTTGAAATACTTCACGTTGAAATACTTCACGTTGAAATACTTCACGTTGAAATACTTCATGTCGAAATACTTCACCGAATATCGATGATGAAACTGCAAAAACGCGTAGTTCGTTCATGGTGTTGCAGAATCTCCGGTTCCATTTTATTTAATCAAACGAAAAATCCTGACATCATAGCTTGAAATTCACAAAGATGAGAAAATTCGAAGAGTTTTTACCAAATGACGTTGAGTACTTTTCCGTTTAGAAAATAAATCATAACAGGAATTCTGCATCGTTGCTGATCGAGATACGCAATCTTGCAGTTTCAAAGAATATAGCAATGTGAAACCATCGAGTTTCTCTTAAAGCCTCGATGAATGACGTATAACCAGTTCACAGAGTCATTAGTAAACCTAGAGGAAAAGAGGGACCAGAGAAATTATTCTGTCTTGCCACCCTAGCCATTTCCTGGTGGAGGGAGGGGGGAGGTCCCAAGACAGGCGAATGTGTGAAAGCTGCAAGTGACTTTTGTGAGCTGAACGCAGGAAGATCTGAGGTACACGTGTGCGACCTTTTGAATAAAAGTTATCCTTGTATTGGGCAATATTTCATTGCCAAGTCCTTATTAGAATTTATCAGTTTCAGAGCGAAAACGTTTCCATATAGGTTTAAATCTCTGCGATAAGCATTGTGCAAAATTAGCTTGGAGTTGGTTTTTGATAAGCATAACACATCACTGAACACTTATGACGTTTTATCATTGCTAAAAATACTGAAAAATGATTTCATATTTTTTTACCGCCACCACTTCCCATATTAATTTACCGTTGCCCACATTTTCTCCACATAATAGCCAACTATGAGTGATTTAAAATATTTCGTATTAGGATAATAAAATTTCGGAAAGAGGATAACCAATTCCAATTAATATTTCCATTGCAATAAATTGGAAGAGGACGCAATTAGAGAGAGAACTATGGCTCTGCTATACATTATATTATACATTATTATATTCAACACCGGAACAGAGTTCCGTCAAAAATAATTGTGGCTAGATATTTGGTGCAGTCTTTTTTTTTTTACGAAGGTCCGAAATTGTTGAATTCTTTTCTTTTTTCATAGAAAATGGACGTACTACTGGAAAAAGGAAAAATAGGAGAAAAAAGTAGAAAAGAAATACTTCAAAGGAGGGAAACATCGTAAAACTGACTTATTTTTTCTTAATTGGAATAGAGCGGCAATCATGGCTTGTTGCATATCTTAACTTCGGAAGGAAAATGTTATCTCTGTCCGCGCTGCCTGTGTAACTGAACATCGTTGCTTCAATCTTGCGGACCGCAGAGCTTCATAGAAGTCACAAGAGTATTTTCTCATTCTTATGAAAACTACAAAAGCTCTGCATTCTGTGAGCTTACAGAATTCGTTTTCAAGCCTATTAATGTATTTTCATTCTTAATAAAATTTTCAATGATTCCTCACGTTCAATGTCATAATCACACTAAAAGAAATGTATGGAAAATATATTTTAAGTTTAAAATGAAATGTGAGCAAAGGAGAAATACAGATTTCGAAATTATCGTTGTATTCTATCCAACCCTATCAAATCAAAATACGTAATTTTCAGTGCCAGTGATGTAGCCAGGGGTTGGGCTGAGAAGTCCGTACCTACTCCTCATGATCATAGGACCCCCCTCCCCCAAACAAAAGTCATTTCCCGTGATTTTTAGGATTTTTTTTTTCAGCCCTTCACCTTCTCTTTAGGGGAAATTATTCACCGTAAGACCCCTCCCCTCTCCCCCATGCAAAATAGCTCGTTTACCATTGTTCAGCATAGTGCATTAGTGCCCTCCTTTCCTAGTACTATTCTCGCCCAATTTTTTCCATACATCCTCAGCTCCTCATAGAAAGTATTTGATGTTAATACTTCATATCCGAGACCTCTAAGAAGGAGGCCAGCCATTGTAACGTCATCATTTCTCCTCTGGTAGAGAATCCAACAATCTAACTCAAGAATTGGATAAAATTCAAGCTTAACTAGGCTTGATACACATTCAATTGATCGTACATCAAGCTTAATCCAGTAATTAATTGGTGCCAAGTAAATCCCTCTACAGTAATTTACCAAATGAACGGTGTACTTTACCACGGTGCAAACGTGCTAAGTGGGTGTGAGTTTAAACGAGACAGTAACGGCTTTGCTCAATTTTTGTTTAACTGGCAAGTACACGAGTGATGATAGGAAAGAGCCAGAGGGCTCCGTCGATTGGTCTGATGCAACATTTTCGAGATAAAACGGCTGCATGATGTAGGAGTCCTGATTCTGTGGAATGGCGAACGTTGTCGGCAGGTTAGTTTTGACGGACGCCGCGTGGAGCGCCTCCTTCATTTTGGACACGGTATCCGTGATGTCAGCTTCCTGTCTGCCCCGAAAATCCGACCCCAGAGTAAAGCCGCCACCAACGGGTGACTTAGCTGTATCTGGCCGCTCATCAGCACCGTTAGAGCCGCCTCTAGATAAGTCTTTGCTATGACCCCTGCGGATTATGTTTAGATCTAGCGCGGGGTTCCTCCTCAGATGCTCTAAGACTGTTTTTGAATCAGCGTCGAGTACCGATCCTGTAGGATCTCCATTCTCCTCTTTCTTAGTCGGACTGTCGTCGAAGCCTTTCCTCCTGTCCGGGAGCGATATGTTATAGTGCCTAGCGACGTGCCTCTCTAGTTCCATGCCAGTTGGAAGCTTGTCTCGACATAGAGGGCACTGAAAACCTTCCTCAGCCCCCGAGTTTCCGCCCATGATGTGGGTCCGCTCATGCATGAAGAGCAGGGCCAAGACTCTGGTAGAGAAGGGACAGTAACTACACTGCTTCACGGTGGAGTTTTTGCCATTAATGATCTCAGCCAGCATGTTCTCATTCAGCGCTGCTAGGTTGAGGGTTGCATCTGCACCGTCCTCCTCTCTGTTGGTCGGAGAATCCAGTTTGGCCGCCGAGGGGAGGCTGTTGACACTGAGTTGGTTCTGGAAATGAAGCCACTTGAGTTTACCTTCCTCTCCGTGTTCATTGAGAAGATGTGCTCGTAGCCACTTGGTGCTGCGGAACCGGCGGAAGCACAGCGGACAGACCTCTAGGAAGTGACTGAAGTATTTGTAGCTGAAGTCTGTTTTTTCGGTGGGTTTCAACGATGCGTCGACTTGAGTGGGCGATTGGTTCCGCGCGTCGGCGGTCCAAAGCCGCGGTGGCAACAGGACGTCGTCCACGATCCCGTGAGAGTTCTGCTTATGCACGCGCAGGAAGTACTTGCTGCAGAGAGTTTTATTGCAAATGTCGCAGACGACCCCGCCGACGTTGGCTCCAGTCTCGATGGAAATGTTGTGCATTCGCTGCATGTGGGTTTTCATGAAGTACTTGTTGCAGAGCTCCTTCTTGCAGATGTCGCAGAAGCTCGTCGAGGGTGTCTGACTATGGTGGGGCTCGCTTTTCTGCGCGGGCTCCGGTTGCGATGGTCCGGAGGTTGGCTGTGGAATCTTCAAGCTTGGCCCGGGGGTCTGAACGCATACATGTTGATCCAGCTGCGCTGCAGATGAGAATTGATGCTGACAAATCCGGCAAGCGAACTTGGACTCGGAGACGTGGTGTGGTGCCTCTTCGTCTATCATCCGACTCACCTCGTCCAAAAGCTCGCCATGCTCCCGGAGGATATGGTTCTCTAGAGCTGATATGTGGCCCAAGTCCTCGCTACACACGTCACAAACCGTCACATTCTCAACGTTTAAGTTGTTCAACTTCATGATCAAAGAGTGTAACTTTTGAATGTCTTCCTCGTTGTGCTCTCTCTTGACACCATCATACTTACTCCTTCTGTTGCCATCCGGAGAGTTCGGAGATCTAGCTTCTTGACGAAAGTGGTTAGCCTCAGGGAAGTTATGGAAGTACGTCCTGTGCATGCTGAGTAGGAACTGGCTTTGGAATGGTTTGCCGCACATTTCGCATCTGCAAATCTCGTTTCGGTCGTGATCTTCGCTCGGTCTTGGGCTGATGCTCTCATTCGGGAATGCGAAGTTCGAAGGGCCGGATGAGGAGGGAACGAGACCCGGCTCTATTTTAATAGATCTATTTGGTGTGGAAGAGTCCCGGTCGGCAGGGTTAACATCAGTCTCCTCGCTGACTCTGGAAAAGTCTTTGCGGCAGTCTTGCGAGTCTTCTTGAGCCTCGCTTTTGTGATAGCTCTCGCTGTCGGAGAAGCTGCGGGAGCTGTCGTCATTTTGAAGTCTTTCGAGGAGTACATCTTGCCCCAGGGAGGTGCTGATGACGGAGGAACGGATACCGTGCACTTTGGCTTTGTGGCGGCGCAGAGAGTGCCGGCTGCAGAACTCTTTTTCGCAGACTTCGCACACCGGCCGACTGTGGCTTGAGGTAGAGTTTGAGTTGGAACCAGGGTTGGCATTACAATCGAACGCCTTCGAGCCAACCTGAACATTCGGCTGCGACGAGGCCAGTGGTGTGTTTGGCGTCGCCGCAGTTTCTGACGTCACGGGGGGTGCCGATTGAGAGGGACTTATCTCCGAGAAATTAGGGTTCCGAGAGTAGTCATCCGAGTCAGGGTCCACGCCAGCCTCTTGCGCCTGCGACTCCTCGTACTGAAGTTTCAAGTCAAGGAAGCTGTAATCCTCGGTATAGGTGGACTCTGTCGACTCCACAATACCGTGGATCTTAGCTTTGTGCCGCCGAACGAAGTACTTGTTGCAGAACTGCCTCTGACAAATGTTGCAGTATGCTTTGGCACCGCTCGATGGTGCCTGCGAGGTCGAATACTTGGGAAACGACCCACCAGAGCCAACGAAAAACGGTTTCCGCGAAAACCAGAACTTGACTGCGGGGTTGGGGCTAGACACGTCGACGGGGCTCGGTTGGTAGTCCGTGTTCAGCGATTCCAGAGGATTCCCACTCATGCTCTCCGAGTAAATTCCGTGTTTATTGGCTTTGTGGGTCTTGAGGAAATATTTGTTGCAGAACTCCTTGTTGCAAAGGTTGCAGAATGCCTCGGGATTGAAAATCCTCATGGGGCCCAGGCCGATGGGGGATTTGAGAGCAGGGCTGCGGAACTGCTTGAAAGAGGTTGGCAGGGTGGGAGCGAGGGGGTTGAAGGGCTCGGGCGGGGGCTTAGGATATGGTCCCTGGAACTGGTGATATGGCGACTCGTTGACCCCAGGTTCAGTCTCAGTCTTCTCTAAGAAGGACATGACGTCCACGCTAACGTCTGAATCTCCGCTGGATAGTTTCGACAGATCCAAGGGGGCCGATCGCGCGATTTCGGTCTTCGACTGCGGTGGACTATCGGGAGGCTCCGGGTCCGGGCTTGCTGAGCCGTCGCTGACCTCGGATGACCCCTCCTCACTCTGGTTTTCGTCCTGGTCCTGGGTTTGGTTCGCACCCTCGTTGCCGTTCTCGCGGGCCGCGGTCGGGTCATCGTCGTCTAAAGTTATTCTTACCGGTTTCGATTGTTTGCGACGCTTCTTGAGTTGTGACCGCTCCGAGTCATCGCCGTCCTCGAAGCTGGGCAACCTCTTGGCCGGTCCAGGTCCATGTCCAGGTCCGGGCCCGGGACCAGGCACGGGTCCGGATCCAGGTCCGCTGATCTGCGTCCTGTCCTCTGATGCGGTCAACAGGGGGTTCGTGATCGCCGATGAGAACAGGAACGACGTCATCGTGAGTTATCGTGAGTCGCAACTAGCCAGGTTCATCAGTACCTGCAACAGAAAAGTGTCATCTCGATTAGCCTTCTCTGCTTTTTGAACAGAGGGTCTCAAAATGAGGAAGACCCGTTCTCGTAAAATGTCAATGAAAATAGATGGTATCAGCGAATCAGTCATGCATTAATACATAAGGTTGCTCTTTTTTTATTTATATACTTTTATTCATGGCCGGATTTAGGAACCGGATTATGGGCCGCGGCTCATGGCGGCAAAAGGGTGCGGCAAATGTTGCACCTTTTTCAAATGTAGGTATCAAGAAAAAAATCCGAATCAGGAGAACATTACAAACGAGAAAAGGCGAGAAAATATCTCATTTCCTGAGAGTTCAAGTATAGTAATTTCTAATTTGTTCGTCTTTCGGTGATATAAGAGACAGCGCCCTTCATTAGTCTAGTTGAGAGAGAAACCAAACGCGTAATTTGGCCTGAAGTGACGCGGCGCAGAGAGCAATGATGACGCGGACTTGAGATGGAAAGGAGAAGCCCTCGGCGCGCCGCCGGTCAGCATGAAACACATAGCGCCTACAAGACTCCATGAATACTTCACGCATTGCGTCAAACGTAGTGCGGTCGGCAGCGGTCGGCGTGAAACGCATAGCGCCTACAAGACTGTAGGGATACTTCCCGCATTGAGCCGCAAACACAGTGCGGTTGGCGCGGTGGCGGAAATTAAAATCATTAAACCACATTCATGTTTATTCTTTCATAATTTTTTCGTTCTTTTCTTATAAATGAAGGGCCTCGTCCACACAGAGATAGGCTTACGGAACTTAATTTTCGCGCGAAATTCCGTGAACTTTTGCTAGTGTTGACAGGGCTTTCACAAAAAATGTGCCCAATACGATGTTTCAAAACAAATGAGAAGGGGCGGCATAATACAGGCGGTCCATGAGTGGCAAGAAGGTAAATCCAGCCCTGCTTTTATTTACTTATATTTTTAAAGAGCCTGCATATTTAGGTAAGGTAATTATATAAAAGAAAACCTGTGCAATAGAGAATTGAAATAGTCTACTCGATGAACTCAAGTAGTCTACTACTTGAATAGTCTACTGCTCTACTCTAAATCGAGAAGGCAGAATGTTATTCCTTTTACTTTTTTGCAGATGTGGGTATACATCTAAACCCCGTTCAAGCAAGAATTAAAGTAAGCGAACGAGTAATAACTTTAGGATGAAAAATATCCGGCTGTTTAGTTCAGTGGGTTGTTTTGGAGAGTGCCTCCAGCTTTTGTTTTTTCTTTAAAATTGGCGTGACTCTTCCAATTTCATGTCAAAAAATAAAATTAAGTACCTAAAATGAAATAAAATAAAAAAATAAAATGAAACAAAGTAAAGCGAAATAAAATAAAATAAAATGTAATAAAACATAATAAAATAAATCAAAATAATTCACGTTAAAATACATTAAAATAAAATGAGAAAAAAATTAATTAAGGCTCCTCACTATTTTCGGTCTTATAAAAAAAATATTAGTTTCAGGCATTTTAAAATGGGGAAAAACATGTCAACTTTCACAAGTGGGATGGCAGTAAGATTTCGGAACGTAAGAAGGAATGCAAAAAATTTATTCCGGTACCGGGAATCGAACCCGAGCCTCCTGGGTGAAAGCCAGGTATCCTAGCCACTAGACCATACCGGATCGGTGGGAGAGGGCGGCGAAAAAGGCGCATTCAAACACACAGCGTGTGACTCAAAGCGTCTGCGCGGAGTCTCGCGAGCGAGACGGGAGCCCTAATAATTCCATTTCATTCGATTCCCGAGGTTCTTGACGCGGCGCACAGTGGTTCCAGAATGGCACTTCCAGAATTCTTGAAATCTCGCAGTTGTTTGACATTTTTTGCAACTTTTTCTTCAATCTGATCCAACATTTTTTTTTATCGACTTAGGGTTGCAAAAAGGTAAAGATTCAGGGAAAATTTACAGCCAGTTTTGCTGATCGAGGACTAGAATCTTATATGGATTCCATTTTACACTTGTGCGACGGGAGGTCGAATCGACTGATAGCTGATATGCGCCAGACGGCGGCGCGGCGGCGGCGCAAAACAGCTGTCAAAATAATGCAGTTCCCCGCTCCGTATGCATTTTTAGCAGGGATCCCTCCCACACTCCTGTCGAATATGATACAATAGGATAGAGATAAGGGATTTGAGGCGCCAGACACGGTGGTTCTTTTTGTGTTACAGAAACTTGAACAGTAGCAAGTGTTTAGAAAATTCACGCACATGCTAGAGTATACAAATGTATAGTCTTGTCTCATTCTTTTGCCTAAATACTGAAAACTCTGAACTAAAATCGGTGAAAAACACATGAGAATGTTTACCATTTGTAATTTATTGCTATATCGAAAGCCTTGGGACTGTTCGACATAATTTTAAAACTTGGGGACTCCATTCATTGCGTAATATTCTCGGATGTACCGGGCCGATAGATTGGACTAGGATTGATGCGATCGACACAATTCGATCGAAAAATAAAAACGAACTTGTTATATTATTATTTCTCGATGATCGATTCTGGTCAGAAACAATTCGATCGGTTCACGATTGCTTCCCTCCATCGATTCTTGTCGATCTGATGGTATTTCCATCCACCCGTTTCGTTAAAAACTCTTATTTGTACGAGGTCCGAGGAAGCGTATCATATTTCGCGACGATACCACTATTTGACCTCGTAGGAGCTCGGGTTGCCTACGCTAAAAATTGAAGGCGAACTGATATGGCGTTAAAATAACCTCCTCCGGTTTGACAAAGAGCGATTAATTGACGGAGCTCCGTGTAAGCGTGCAATTACGATAACATCACTGTTGCACTTCTTTCTCATTTTCTTATTTTCTTCTTCTTCTTCTTCTTATCATCTTATTTATCTTCTCCCCTTTCTACTTCCCCGTTATTTCTATTTTTTCCCTTTTTTCTTTTTTATTATTATTTTTTCTTCTTCTTGCTCCATTATTCTTCTTTATCTTTTATCCTTCTTCATGTTTTTCCTTCTATTTTTGTCTCTTTTCTTCGTTTCCTTTATATATTCTTCTTCTTCGTCTTCTTGTTCTTCTGTTCTTCTTTATCTCCTTTCTTAATTCATCGACTTTTCTCCATGCTCTTTTTATCTAATACCTCTCCTTTCTCTTTTGATCCTCTTCTCAGACGCGAAATAAAATAAACAAATTAGTTTAGTGGAAAACAGCGTAAAAGGAGCATTAACAAAGTTGAAATCAAACCTCACAAGACTGAAGAAAGTTAATCTACGTATGAGCTACAATATGAGATGTGTAATAATAGATAACCGTTTATAATATTGCAAAACTAGCTATATAATTGACGAGGTCAGAGCGGAGGACGTTTAGTGCCGCAGGCGAGGGTCCCGCATGCGCGATGATGACGGCGCAGTGATACAACTATTCGTGCTCGATGGATGTCCGTGTCGCATCTGCAAAATTGAAGGCGCCATGGCGCGAGGCGTGAACTCGCAACGCTTTGCTCTGTGCTGTCAATGAGGCGTTGCTTAGATTTGGGAGAAACTTTAAAAAAAAGAGGCCCGATTATATTTATCCTATTTTCCGCCGTATTGCTCACGTAGCCCTCAAAGCACCACTAAAAAAAATAAGACAAACGGAACCAACACAGCATAAAAATAGAGCAACGCGGGAAGGACGCCCATCGATGACGGCGCAGTGATACAACTATTCGTGCTCGATGGATGTCCGTGTCGCATTTGCAAAATTGAAGGCGCCATGGTGCGATGCGTGTACTCGCAACGCTAAGCTCTAAACTGCCTCTGAAGTGTCGCCGCGATTATAACAAAACATTTTGTGTCGACAATAAATTAGCCGACAGAGACCATCATGACTACTATATTATAAGTATATTCACTATGTAACCATCCTCATCCTTAGTCGCATCCTAATACTATATTAATCAGAACGCGCTCGTGCGGAGAGATGTTACATTAGGCAAACTGTCATAGCAGTTGAGCGGCTCATACATACGTAAACTTTCTCATTATAAGAACACGCGTGTTTTTCTCTTTGCTTATCAGTTCAGCAGGGGCATAGCTAGGAAATTTCTCTTGGGGGGGGGGGCATGGGACCACCTCTCGTGGTGAAGAGAGCGGGGGGGAGGG